TTCCATGTTGTACATCCTTACGAGGTTCAGATACGGGAGGATTTTAAGACTTCCGTGGGGCTGTGGAAAATTCTTGACAGAGATGAAAGAAAGTTGAGAAATAAGATAATTCCTATGATAAAGATTCAATAGGAAGGTAGGAAACCTGAGGAGACTACTTGGGAGCATGAGGATGATATTCTCCGGATATATCCTGAGTTTGTTTTCTAGGTATGATCCTAATTTTGCGGACAAAATTCTAAAAAGGTGGGGTGAGTATAATAACCCCTCACTAGTAAATGGGATTTAATATTGAAGAATAATCAGAAGTAAAAGAAATAAAGTCACCTTTGATAAAAAAAGGAGTTAAAAAGTTAGTTAAGTGGTAAAAATGCGGGTAGATAAAGTTATCCAAAAAGTGAAAGTAAATAAAGAAATATGACTAGAAAAATATTCTAGTCTATTGGGTAAAGTTTGGTAACGAATGGAGGTATGTAGATAGATGAACTTATACCCGCTGGTGAAGTGAACTGACTTAAGTGACTAATAAGTCACTATTCACCTTCTTAAATTCGCGATTCTTCGACGGACGTGAGACAGAGCGCACGGAGAGAAACGAAAGGAAAATAGAAAAATTGAAGGAAATTCTTCCTAAATTCATAACTTGAGCTAGAGACCTCCAAATCACTTCGTTCCAAAGCCAAACTTGTGAGAAACTTTAAGAGGAATCCATTGGTACCAGTATTTCTGGGTGGGTTTCACTGTAGAGAGAGATCTTCCTCCTTTAAATTTCGGATTTCATGGATATTATGGATTTTGATGGAGTTTGAAGCCATGGAAGCTTGAAGTAAGCCTTCCCCTTCGTTCTAGGTAAGTTTATGTTAAGAAATCCTTATTTTCTTTGAGTTTTGAGGAAGATTTGATATAGTTTTCAATTTTGAAAGTTTGATTTGATTGAGCATGTTAGAGCTTGATTGAGGCTTAGCTCATGTTGAGAAAAGTGTTCAGATGAGAATTTTAACGGTGAAAATGTATTTGGAAAATTTAGTATACCGTATACGTGAATAGTACCATATACGTGAATAGTAACATATACATGAATAGTGCAGTATGCATACATTAATGTTGTATACTAATGGAAATGTGTTCCTTGGTTTTAGTATAATACCAAGTGGACTCGTGAAGCAAGAGTATGGCTGTTGAGCAAGACTCGTGATCAATTGAGATTGAGGTGAGTATCAAACAATGGTTTGATGTGGAAATTATATGAAATGCATATATGTTTAATTATGATGAATTCACCGTGGATAGGTATGTTGGTCATTTGTTAGCTTGTGGACCTTTGACTTGGAAAAGAGCTATTCCAGGTAAGCTTTCGATCCTTTGGGACTAATCCCCCATTTGTTCCACCAAACTCCGAGGGAGGTTAGTAGTTTCATATGGTATGTGAAAATGATGATATATGGTGCATGTTTATGTATGGATGTTTGTATGCCACACAAGACGGTGTTTCCTTGTGTGTGTGAGGCATAAGACGATGTTTCCTTATGCATAGTATGAGACGGTGTTACCTCATACGGTATGTTGCAAGACGGTGTTTCCTTGCGTAATGCATACTTGTTGTATTCTCTGGCCAGTAGGATTATGTTATTGCACACTGCATTGTCATACATATTCTGTTGCATGCATAGATTTTTATACTGTGATTATACCAGAAGTGAGCTTAGGGGTGGAGGAGCCCTCCAAGGGTCCCTGGCTTACTTAGGTAATTATATTATCTCACCCCGCGTTATGGGGACTACCATTTCAGGTACATGAGCTGATGATGCTGAGGCATAGCGTGGCAAGAAGCCAGACGAGAGATATTACCTGACCTGATAGTCAGGATTGACTTGATATGTTGATGAGTATTTGACATGAATTTATTTTGGATACGTATCTATATTCCATGTCATTATTTTGAGAGCATAGGAGATGTCTATGCCCTGTTGATAGTTATATATGTATATGTCTAGGTTACTTATTTGATTACATCTCTTTTGGTTGGTTGATGTAATCATGTAAGTAACTCTATGGATATTATTTTGAGATCTGTTATGATTCTGAGATAGCCTACGCCATGGATGGCTAGGTAATATGATTTATGTCTGGATTATATCAAACTGTCAATCAGGTTGAAATTATCTTGGTGGGAATTATCCTCAATGGTCCAAAATACAGAGGAAATGTTGTCCGTTTTATTTTGGCCATGGAAGTGAAAAGGTTTGCAAACATAAGGAAAAAGAGATAATTTATTCAGTTAGTTTCCGCACTAATTAAGTAAAGCATGCTACGCTTACTATCATATGAATGTTAATTAACCGGCTGCAGACGGGGCGTTACAATAACTCTTTTAGTGTTGTCCTCAATATGGCCTTTTACAAATGTTCTTGCTAATCCAAAATCTCAATGAAGGTATAGAAGTCCTTTTGCAATTCTATTAATAATGTTCACTTGTAACTTCCAATCTACTTTCTTTTGTTTTTCCTCATCTGAAAAACAATTAATAAAGGAAATGTTTTTTGACACTTGAATATATGGATCAAAGAACAAATAAAAAACTTAGATATGTTAGATCGATTGTATGCAGCTTTATCTTGATATTTTCACAAAAGGTTATTTTTTAAACTTGAATATGTGACCTTCTGCTGGTCACAAGAAACAAATTTACCACTGCTCTAAGACTCACCCTCAGGAAAAGTTTTACACTTAATCTTAACCGTTGATCTCATTTGTATTCAACAACTCACATAATTAATGATAAGGGTAAATAAGTAAATTCAAATATTTTACCACTTAAAATCCCCAAAATGGGGGAACTTAAATTTTAAGAATAAGAAGGGTTTTGTGAAAATTCCCAATTCCTTTCCTTCTCATTTTTAAACTCATAAATAAGGAAATAGATTAATAAAACCCTCACATTCCTTTTATTTTTCTCCTAAAATAAATATACCTATTTTTTTTGAACCGGTTTAAATACTGACCCACTTTTATTTGGGTCAGTTTTAGACCTGACTTGTTTTAATAATGACCCATTGACCCAAAACTTGACCAATACCCATTATGTGAAAAAAAAAAGAAAAAAAATCACAATTACTTTAGAAGAAAAGTTTTAATGTAAAACAATTACATTAAAAAATTTTACGAAAAATATTTCCATCAAAATACTTCGCAAATTTTTTTATTTTTGTCAAATTTTTTACAGAATCTAAATTTTGTCAAAATATTTCACAAAAAAACATATTCATCAAAAATTTCAACAAAACACATTTCCATAGAAATTTTTTGACAGAAAGAAATTTCATCAAAATTCTTTACAGAATTCAAATTTCGGCGAAAGTTTTCGACGGAAACATTTTCGTTAAACTTTTTGACAAAAAAAAAATTTTGTCGAAATTTTTAGCGAAACACATTTCCATCGAAATTTTTTGACTAAATATTTTCGTCAAGTTTTTTGATAAAAAATATTTCCCTCAAAATTTTCAAAAGAACACATTTCTGTCAAAAAAATTTGTAAAACTTTTTGACAAAAAATATTTCGATAAAAAAATTTGACGTAAAAAATATTCTGTCAAAAATTCTTTAGAGAATCTAAATTTCGTCGAAAGTTTCGAATGAAACATTTCCCTCAAAACAATTTCCGTCGAAATTTTCGTCAGAACACATTTCCATCAAAATTTTGAACGAAAAATATTTCGTCAAAATTTTTGACTGAATTCTTTTTTGTTTAAAACATTTGATGGAGGAAATCATTTTCGTCAAAACTTTTGACGGAAACTAAATTTCGTTAAAAAATTTATTTTTGTAAAATTTTCATTAGAATTTTTTTTTGTCACTTTTCAACAAAAAGTATTCTGAAAAAATAATTTTGTGACAAAATTTTTGTCGTTTGCATCGTAAAAATTGCGACGAAATTTTGTGACGAAACCAAGTCAAAAACAGGTCAGGTCAAATTTGACCCACTTCATAAGTCAAGTCAGACCCACTTTAGAAACCAATTCAGGTCAGATCCGACCCGGTTCTGAACTAGTTCAAAAAAATTCAAACCAAGTCAGACCTGACTTAAATCAAATTAAAGCGGATCAGGTCAAAATACCTGACCTACAAAAATCAAATTGGGTAGAGTTGGCAAAAAAAAAACTCAGATGATCTGACCCACGCACATCAGTAGTAGTTTCCCACCAGTGATACCAAGTTAATCCCTTCCCTTGTAACATCAGTATAATGGCAAGGAGCTTCTCCCTGTCGGGAATTCGGTTGATTTGAAAATACCTTTCAACTTGACTTAACTAGCCATATAAGTCGCTCCTAGAAAAAATGAAAACTACGATAACAGGAGCAAAAATACTTAACTGGAGATTCTCAATTACAACTGAAATAGAAATGGCAGAAAAATCAAAAGTAATCAAGACAATTCGGGAAACCCTGTTTTCTCCCAGAAATCCCAACTTGATCCCAATTTTCCTCATGAACTTAGCATTTTCTCCTCTCTCTTTTTCTATTTAAGTACCCTTACATGTGATCCTTCACCAACTGAAAAGTGGTGAGTGGCCTCCTTTAACTGATTTGCTGCTAAGTCAGCAATTGCGGCATATGTGGGGTTGTTATTTTGGCCATTTTGAGTACCCATCTTGGCCCTGAACTTCTTTCGAAAATACCTTTTAAGGGATGGATGTGTATTAGTGTGCAAGCAAAATTTAATTCAAATAGGTGGTTATGATGAGACAAAAATTGAACCAAAATACAATTAGAAAGCAAGATTATGTAATCAACAATATGAACATAGTATCTATCTACAAAATTTAGGATCACAACCCCAAAAATGAAAATGCTTATCATTTGTAGAGGAAGCTACCCAGTTTGTTGTAATTGATTGTACTATCTAGTTATTTTCAATGCAAAAATTTTGTCAAGTTACATCCACCATCTGAGTGGGCAAGCCTTGTGCATGGTTAAAGCAGCTCCTTTGTGATTCCTCTGTGATTAAAAGTTCATGAGCTCAAATCCATTTACATCCACTACCTGGGTAAAATATTTGATAATGTTACTTCATTAATAGAAGGATCCTTGGAAGCTTTTGATGTTGATTCTTCTTCCTTGGTTTTTCTTCCAACTGAAAATGCAGGATGGTTAGGGTTAGGAAGGGCCATTCTGTCACTTGCAAGCATGACAACAACCATGGACATGGTTGGTCTATCTACTGCATCTTCCTGTACACATAACAAACCAATGTGTATGCACTTCATAGCTTCATTGGCTATGTATGTCTTTTCAAGTGTTGGATCTAACAATTCCAAACTTTTTCCTTCACACCAAAGTCTCCAACTCTGCATTCAAATCTGAATATTTAGAAACTCTACCTGAAACACTTGCTATCACTTTTTTTACATCAATTTCTCAATGATACGAGTGCAACAAAACTCACATAAACAAGAAGACTTTGACCATGTTCTGAAAGATGGAATCCACTATTCTTTTTTCCACAAATGATTTCTAATAAAAGAACTCCAAAGCTGAAAACATCAGATTTCACTGAATATAACCCTTCCATAGCATATTCTGGAGCCATGTATCCACTGTTTGAAATCAATAAAAAACCATTAGTTTGTCAATGTATCAAAGTTTTTTAATTAAATACATATTAATATGAGTCAAGAAAAAAAGAAATGCCAATTACACATACTAGGTGCCCATAACTCTTCTAGTGTTGTCCTCACTCTGGCCTTTTTCAAATGTCCTTGCTAGTCCAAAATCTGATATTTTAGGATTCATGTCTTGATCAAGAAGAATATTGCTGGCTTTCAGATCTCTATGGATTACTCTAAGTCTGGAGTCTTCATGAAGGTATAGAAGTCCTTTTGCAATTCCATTAATAATGTTCAATCGTAACTTCCAATCTATTTTCTTTCGTTTTTCCTCATCTGAAAAGCAAGTAACAAAGGAAATGTTTTTTGACACTAGAATATATGAATCAGAGAACAAATAAAAAACTTAGATATGCAGGTCGATTGTAGGCAGATTTATACTGATATTTTCATAAAAGGTTATGTTTAAACTTGAATATGTGACCTTCTGTCAATCACAAGAAACAAATTTACCAGTGCGCTAAGCTCACCCTTTGGATAAGTTTTACACTCAAACTTAATTGTTAATCTCATTTGTATTTAACAACTCACATAATTAATAAATTAGAATCGTTAGATGTAACTTGAATTAACAATTAAGATCAAGGATAATATGCTAGTTAATCCTACTGCATAATAAATTGTTCAAGTATTGTTCCCTTATGTAAAGAACCTTGAGATACATCACCCCAAAAGCTAGCTCAAAGGGTGAGAGTGCCCAAGACCTTATAAACTCCACATTAGTTGCACATACAACCAATGTAGGACTATATTTCTCAACAAGCCCCCTCACACGAGAGCCCATTGGGCTTGAAGAGTGAATAATGCAACAGACCCAGCCTACCTGTGCTAAGAAATTCCACAAGAGAAAGTGGGGGACAGCGAGACTCTGATACCATGTAAAGAACCTTGGGATACAACTAATGTAGGACTATATTTTTCAACACGCCCCCTCACACGAGAGCCCATTGGGCTTGAAGAGTGGATAATGCAACAGGCCCAGCCTACCTGTGCTAAGAAATTCCACGAGAAAAAGTGGGGGACATCGAGGCTCTGATACCATGTAAAGAACCTTGGGATACATCACCCCAAAAGCTAGCTCAAAGGGTGAGAGTGCCCAAGACCTTATAAACTCCACATTAGTTGCACATACAACCAATGTAGGACTATATTTCTCAACACGCCCCCTCACACGAGAGCCCATTAGGCTTGAAGAGTGGATAATGCAACAGGCTCAGCCTATCTGTGCTAAGAAATTCCACGAGAGATAGTGGGGGATAGCGAGGCTCTGATACCATGTTAAGAACCTTGGGATACACCACCCCAAAAGCTAGCTCACAGGGTGAGAGTGCCCAAGACCTTATAAACTCCACATTAGTTGCACATACAACCAATGTAGGACTATATTTCTCAACACGCCCCTTCACACGAGAGCCCATTGGGCTTGAAGAGTGGATAATGCAACAGGCCCAGCCTACCTGTGCTAAGAAATTCCACGAGAGAAAGTGGGGGACAGCGAGGCTCTGATACTATGTAAAGAACCTTGAGATACACCACCCCAAAAGCTAGCTCAGAGAGTAAGAGTGCCCAAGACCTTATAAACTCCACATTAGTTGTACATACAACCAATGTAGGACTATATATCTCAACACCTTATATATACGGTTCTGTTTTGAAAGGCACAGTAAGAGTTGTTAATAGAAAATTCAATTTTTTCTTGAAGTTCTACCTCTAAACTCCTTCTACCACATGGCAATACCATCCTTACTACTGATCTCTGCAGACTTTTATAAACAATAAATTGGAACAAGAGAAAAAGGTAAAAAAATGAAAAAACCACAAATAAAAATAAAAAGCATTTAGTTAAAACATACTGAACAGGTGAGAGTCAAGGCTAGAATTTGGCATGTACTCATATATAAGAAGCTTTTCATTTTCCTCAAAGCAGCAACCCAAGAGTCTCACAAGGTTCCTATGTTGCAATTTAGCTATGAATACTACTTCATTCTTGAACTCCTCTAAACCTTGACCAGATGTTTTAGAGAGTCTTTTGACAGCAATATCTGTTCCATCTTCTAAATTTCCCTGGAAGAAATGTTTAAAATAAAGAAAAGGACAAATAAATATGACAAATTAGGAGTCAAAGCAAAATCTAATACATAAATTTTATGCATATCCAATTCAATGATACCTTGTAAACTGGACCAAATCCACCTTCTCCTAATTTACAGAAATCTGAGAAGTTATTAGTGCTATGTCGAATCCAAATCAAAGGGATCATAGGAAGGTCTACATTTAGTGAATCCTCTCTTTGAACATGGTCATGATAAGATATAGGAGTGGTCTCTAATTGCAGTCCATCTGCCAAGTAAACTTGTGAATTTTTATTTTGGTTAGAAATATGGGTGAGCATTTTAGTCTTATCACTCTTGCTACCTATTTGGTTATCATTGGATCAATTTAAAATCAGCAGCAATTTTTTTTTTTTTCCTTTTTCAATTATTGATTTCAAATTGATTCAACGATAACTAAACACAGTATAACCTTCACTTACAAATATAATATAAAATTAGAGATTAATTTCTTTTATGCAAACGCAAGAAAATTTTATCTCCTATAGCTACACACACATGAAAGTGGTTGAGATCCATTTTTTTCTTTCTCTCTTCTCTTTTCAACAGGGTGTCACTCACTCTCATTTGTGTGCAAGAGATAAAGTTCTCTTCTCCTATTTGCAGGAGAAATATTAAACTCATAAAAAAGCTATTTATGTATCTCCACCTAACAATAATATTTTAAAAAAAAGTTGGTTAATAATATGATATAAGAGCCTCAACGATCAAATGATATAGAGTTCGAAATTTACCACTCTATCTTTCTAATAAAAGAAAAAGTAAAATTTCAATACGAGATAGATGGCTTTGTGCATGGTGATGCTTCAAGTCCAATGTGGGTATATCAAATGATCTCATAACTTTTAGCAAGTGTGTAACTGTTGTTAATTACCTTTATTTGATAGATACCGCCGCCATAAGTAGTAGATACAGCAACTTAGTAGAGCTAGTGCCACCAACACACTCACAATGGTGATGATCAAGGTTTTTGACGTACTTTTACCTCCCTGATTGGCTGCAAGTGAAACAATAGCAAAGATGAACATGACACATTTCTTTTCTATTACACCAAATTCTTTCCATTAATAAACAGATATAATTTAAGGAGGTTCCCATTTATCAAAAGATTCCCAATGACAACGGAGAGAGAGTCGATGATTCTTGTTTGGATTTAGTTTTCCATTTTCAAAATACTACAAATCAGAAAATAGATAACGAAGCCTTACAATTAAAATATTCTACAAAAACTAATTAACAAACTTTCCAAAGGCACTTTTTCTTTAAAAAAAAAAAAAAAGAAGATATTACTGAATGATGATTGCTCACATCTTAAACCTCCATCTGTGGTGTCTGTACGACCTCTTCAATAAATTATATGAAATAGGGCCTGATTTATTCTATCTGTCTATGGTTTTTTATTCTATGATTTCGGCTGTCAAATATGAACCTAATCAAAGTGTGAACCAAACCCAACTATACCAAAAATAATCATATTGTTTTAATCATTTTAAAAAGTGAATAGATTTTCCCGAACTAATTCAAGCACCAAACCATTTTTCAATTGAGAGCCAAATCTCTTTACTGGTTTGGTTTGGGATATAAAATAAGGGTGTCTTTTTTTTTTGCTGTAATTGCACCACTTTTTCTGGTGCGGCAAACACAGAAAAAGTAGATTTCACTAGGTTTTTTTAAAAAATAAAATAAAAACTACAATCCGTCAACATATCTAGAATTTCTATGTGTTTGCTACAAAAAATTTCTTCTGCAGCAACAACGGAACTATAAAAGCCATAAAATAAATCAAACTGAACCAAACTTTACCCATTTCTACGAGTGTGTACAAATTATATGAATCAAATCACATTTTTCCAGAGCACTTTATAAACCGAACCATCTTTTAGAAATTAGTGACCCGGTTCAGTTAAGAGGATGAGCCTGGAGTATTGATAAAGTTGTTAGTTTGTGACTGAAAGATCTAAGTCTCAGGTTCGAATTCAAAAAATAACTACTTTACAATTATTTAAGAGTAAAGTTGCATATAAATATTGCTCTCACCTCACTTTCACTGGGATTTAATGAACAGTGGTTTTAGTTAACTGTTGTAAATAATTATTATTTAGCCATTTATTTGTTGTATTGGGCCAAGCCCATTAGGTCAAAATTAGGTCAAGTATTTTCTATAAATAGAGAATCCTTTGTACAGATTATTTACAATTCTATAATATATTAGAATACCCTTTTTCAAGTTGGTATCAGAGCTCTCGATCTGAGGGCTTTGCTTCCGCACATATTATCTTCTTTTTTTAACAAAACCCTAATTTCTTTGCCTCTTGCCGCCATCAGCCGCCACCGGAAAATTTTTCCGGGGACCTTTTGGACCAAGGGGACCATTGTTGACCTTATTTTTCCTCCGTTCTATCATTCTACGCACTGTTCCTCCGCCACAAATGACCGAAACACCTCCGACAGCCTCCAATCAGATCTGTCTTCACCGTTTGGACCACTTTCCAGCGACTTTTCAACCGCGACCACCCACAGACAGGTGCGCGCTCACCGGACGACCACACCAGAAAAATCTCAGCCGGAGAAGCCCCTCCACGCGCTCTCACGCACCGCCCCTTTCCCGGCGAGTGAATCCCACGCGCAGCTCCTTTCTCCGGCGCGTGGAGGCGCGTGCGGCCGTGTTTTTGGACCGGACCACCACCATTGATCTCGTCTTCTTGTCTTCTGTCTAGATCTGTGATTACTTTTCTGATCAGAGGTCATTTGATATTCTGTTTGGTTGATTTTATCGCTGGTTGTTAACTTTTTTGTTAAAGAATGGCCGAGCATGATAGTTCTTCGATCTTATCTGGTAAGAGCACACGTTCTATATCTCTTCTTGCTTCATGCACTGATTTTAAAACCTCATGGATTTTGGATTCTGATGCAACTGATCATATGGCTTGTCGTACTGAGTTGTTTTGTTCTTATCATCCTACTGTTGGTAGTCATACTATATCCGTAGCTGATGGATCCCATAAATCAGTTATTGGTTCTGGTAACATTCAAATTCAACCTTCCTTGTTTCTTAAAAATGTTCTTTATGTTCCTCAGCTTTCTACTAATCTTATCTCCACTCAGAAACTTACAACTGATTTGAATTGTTCTATCACATTTTTTCCTTCTCATTGTCTTATTCAGGATCTTACCACGAAGAAGACAATTGGAGTTGCTAATGAACAGGATGGGTTGTATCATCTCCTTCCAGACCATGCTAGCAAAAATCAGTTATTAATGACATGTCATCCTTCTACTGCAGAGTCTATGATTTGGCTCCATCACAAGCGTCTGGGGCATCCACCATTTAGTCTTTTGAAGTCTATGTTCCCCTCTCTGTTTCTCAATAAGTCGGTTGAGACCTTTCATTGTGATGTTTGTGAATTTGCAAAACACCATCGAGTGTCATTTCCTTCTAGCACAGGGAACTTTTTTCTCTTATCCATTCTGATGTGTGGGGCCCTTCTAAAGTGCACAGTATTTCAGGTGCAAGGTGATTTGTTTCTTTTATTGACGATTGTACTCGGATAACATGGATATGCTTGATGAAAGACAAGTCTGAAGTACCAGAGATATTTATTCGGTTTCATCACATGGTTGAGACTCAGTTTGGTAAGGGTATTAAAAGACTCAGATCTGATAATGGTACTGAATACGTCAATCAACGCCTGTCACAATTCATTTCAGACAGAGGTATGATTCATGAGCTCACATGTGTTGATACTCCTCAACAAAACGGGGTTGCTGAAAGGAAAAATCGTCACCTTCTTGAAGTTGCTAGAGCACTACTTTTCCAGACATCTGTTCCTAGTTCTTATTGGGGAGAAGCAGTATTAGCTGCAACTTTTTTGATCAACCGTTTACCTTCACGGGTCCTTAACAATATCAGTCCTATTCATTCCATGACTTCCTTCTTTCCTTCTGTTCCCATATTGCAGAGCCTTCCACCAAGAGTGTTTGGATGTGTTGCCTTTGTCCATGTTCATAAACAACATCGGAGTAAGTTGGATCCTAGGGCTCTTAAGTGTGTCTTCCTTGGTTATAACCCTTATAAAAAAGGGTACAAGTGTTATCATCCACCAAGTCGAAATTTTTTTGTTTCTATGGATGTCACCTTTCAAGAATCTGAATCTTATTTCCTGGGTCCTCATCGTCAGGGGGAGAACAGTTCTTCAGAAGACTCGTCCCCTTCCTTCTTTGAGTCTGGATCAATCTTCTCTCTTCCTAGTGTGTCTGCTCCTGGTGTGTCAGAACCTTCAAATACACCTGAGATACAACCCATACTGTCTCACCAGCAACCTTAATCGTCTGAACCACTGGTAAGTCTTGAATCTCCTATTTCTTCTGAGTCTCCTGAATCTCCTGTTTCTGATTCTAATATTATTTTCTCTCATGATTTGTCTATTTCTTCTGATATCTCTAATGACTTACCCATTGCTTCTACTTCTGATGACTTACTTATTGCTCTTAGAAAAGGAAAAAGATCTTGTCACAAGAAAACTTGTTCCTCATGTCCCTCTTGTACTCAATACCCTATCTCCCACTTTGTTTCCTCTGCTAATCTTTCTGTGCAGCACAAAAGCTTTGTTTCAGCACTAGATTCTATTGCAATCCCAAACTCAGTACATGAAGCCTTGAAAGGTAGGAATTGGGCTCAAGCCATGCAATAGGAGATGAATGCTTTGGAGAAAAATAAAACATGGGAGGTTATTGATAGACCCAACAGAAAAAAAAACAGTAGGGTGCAGATGGGTTTATGCCCTGAAATATAATTCTGATGGTACTCTTGAGAGACATAAGGCTCGATTAGTGGCCAAAGGTTACACTCAAACCTATGGCATTGATTATGAAGAAACCTTTGCTCCAGTTGCAAAGATGAATACAGTGAGAATCTTGTTATCCCTTGCTGCCCATTACAATTGGGATATAAATCAATTTGATGTGAAAAATGCTTTCCTCAATGGTGAGTTAGAAGAAGAAGTCTACATGGAAATCCCGCCTGGTTTTGATTCTGTGAAGGGGGAAAATAAAGTTTGTAGATTAAAAAAGGCATTGTATGGATTGAAGCAGTCACCTCGTGCTTGGTTTGGAAGATTTACCAAGGTTATGATGACCTTAGGATACAGACAGAGTCAAGGAGATCACACTCTTTTCTTCAAGCACTCCCAAAATGGGAAGCTTACTGTGCTCCTTGTATATGTTGATGATATTATTATCACAAGTGATGATTTTGTGGGGAGACAGATTCTGCAAACACGGCTTGCCTCTAAGTTTGAAATCAAAGACCTTGGGAAACTGAGATATTTCCTAGGGATAGAAGTAGCTCATTCAAGCAAAGGAATTTTTATCAGCCAGAGAAAATATGTTCTTGATCTTCTCAAAGAAGCAGGAAAGCTCGGTGTAAACCCTCTAATACTCCTATTGAGCAGAATCACAAGATGGGTTATGAAGAAGAGAGTCCTCCAGTTGATAAAGGATCAACGGCTAGTTGGGAAATTGATATATCTGGCCCATACTAGACCAGACCTAGCTTATGTTGTTAGTGTTGTCAGTCAGTTTATGCACGATCCAAAAGAAAAACACATGCAGGCAGTAGAGAGAATTCTGCAGTATCTTAAAGGTACTCCTGGTAAAGGATTGTTATTCCGACGTGATGGCAATCTATCTTTAGAAGTCTACACAGATGCTGATTATGTTGGATCCGTGACTGACTGTCGTTCTACCACTGGTTATTGCATGTTTCTTTGTGATAACTTGGTGACATGGAGAAGTAAGAAACAATATGTGGTTGCCAGATCAAGTGCAGAAGCTGAATTTCGAGCTATGGCTCAAGGCATTTGTGAGTTATTGTGGCTGAAAATTGTACTTGATGATCTCAAAATAAAATGTGAGGGACCTATGAAGCTGCTATGTGATAATAAGTCTGTTATTTGTATAGCTCATAATCCAGTTCAACATGATCGGACTAAACATATTGAGGTTGACCGCCATTTCATCAAAGAGAAACTTGATAGCGGGTTGATTACCACTCCATACATTCCCACTGGGCGTCAATTAGCTGATCTATTAACAAAGGGGCTTCCTTCAGACAGATTTCAAGAACTTACTAGCAAGTTGGGAATAATAAATATCTATTCCTCAGCTTGAGGGGGAGTGTTGTAAATAATTATTATTTAGTCATTTATTTGTTGTATTGGGCCAAGCCCATTAGGTCAAAATTAGGTCAAGTATTCTCTATAAATAGAGAACCTTTTGTACAGATTATTTACAATTCTATAATATATTAGAATATCCTTTTTCAAGTTTAACCGATTTGGTTCACCCAAACCAAAAACCGAGCTGAATATGTCCAGCCATAATTTATTCTTGATATTTTCTCTGGGAAGACTGCTACCAAATAGAAACAGGAGTTGTATGTTGGGTGTTCAGGGACATGCACTATTAAGAAAATGTTGCCGAAACATGCTTACGAGTTTAGGAGCCTGTTGTCGACCATAATCACAAATGTTATCTTCACAAATTGTTCACATTAACATCCGATAAAGCATGTCACAACAAGTCGGTCTTTGTTCAAATGCATTTTTGACCCGTTGTTCAGATTGGCATCATAACAAGTTTTCTTGAGTTCAATATTAGGTTTGACAAGTAATAAATGTGCATCTGGACCCGAAAAACACTTGGGAGTATTTCTATAAGCAATTCAACGTTTCTACGTCATTAGAATCATGTAAATGTGTAATAACATCTTATATGTTTTCGCTCAGAACTTAATCTATCTAATTTCTACACAGGAGACCTATTCACTTAAACTAATTCTTATGCACAAAAGTGACAGAATGACCCGTAAAACATTTTTTGAGTAAACTTGCTTCCAAACTGTATAAATATAGGCGTACGTACCCGTACTTAAAATTTATCAAGTTAAAATAACAATGTTCTTTAATTTAAATTAAGAGAAAATTATCTTAATTTATGTGCTTTATCATTTTGAAAGATTTTTTTAAAATATCAATTTTCAATCTTGAAAAGAAAGCTTCATTTTAACAATAAAAAAAAAAATGAAAAGAAAAAAGGTTAAGATTTCTTGAAGTTAAAAAGTTTTTCATTTTTGTCCCATGTACAAATAAACAAGTCTAACTAAACACCGCGCATTTTCCCAAGTCTAGTGTCCATTAAATTCAAAAGACAACGCTCACCACATAAACTCACCTAATCTTTGACTTATGGCTAGCTCATCCAGCTGGACCGGGTCAAAAGATTAAACAATACATTTTTTTTTCTTTACTTTGAAAAATCCCCCTAATGCAGAAAAAGCCAAAAGAAATCTTATTCTATTTTTAGTCTTGCCGGCTTGGCCCATGAGTAGCTGCGACAGCTTAAGATTTTTTAAACCTATTTATATTATTTTATAAATCTTAACCTATTTATATTATTTTATAAATATTAACCAATTTATATTATTGTATAACTGTATTATAACGAAGGGAAAAATAAATTTTATGTTGTAGGAGGATTTTAATCTCATGTTATAGATATATCAAGTGTAAGACTCACTTATTTAAAAAAAAAGTGATACATCTTTTTATGGTGTGTACAGGAAAAGTTTGTTTTCTCATGCAACATGAGAAAAACAAATCCTTATAACAAACGACAAACGGGGTAAGGAAAATATAGCTTATAGCAATAGACTTGCTCAATATAGCCCTACAAAGGTGAACCATGGTAAACTATGTGTCTCGTGCTTTTCTTCGTCAATTTTTTTTTTTTTTTGGAGTAAATACCTTTTTTGGTTCTCAATAAATTTTATGATGTCTGCTTTAGTCCCAAGCAAATAAAAATGCTATTCGCGATCCTTAAAAAATTCAAAATGAACCCATTTAGTTGAAATCGTGGTCCCTCACAAATTCAAAAAAGACCCACATTAGTCCCTCAAAAGGACTAAAATGAATCCACTTTGAATTTCTTAGAGACCACAAATAACTTTTTTATTTGCTAGGGACTAAAGCGGATATAGTAAAATTTGCTTGAAAAGTGATATTTATTTATTTTTTAATTTTTTTTTCCCAATTGTGTGTATGGTTGTTCTAGTGTGTAAGAAAGATTTCATCAGCTGGAATTGAACCTAAACATTTGAAGTGTTTTTGTCCTTACTATACCAACTAAAAGACTAGCGTAAGTGCAAAGTATAAGGTGGAACCAAAAAAACCAAATATGGCCACTTGCAAAAAAAGTGAATAAATTAATGTGTCACATGTACCTGGATTAGGCAAAGGAGAAGATGTTTGGTTAGTAATCTGGTAGAACATAAAATCATCATACTTTATCAAACAACTTGGAGCCAAAACCTGCCATCCCAGCTTTGTTCCACAACATTTTGGAACTTCGTTAAGCATAGCCTCCAAACACTGGCTGCACTCATCATTAGTAAGGTCCCTACTACACTGCACCAAACCATACCTTTCCTCAGCTGGACTCAAATTGAACTTACCCATTGCATACAACTGGTTGGTCTCCACAGTAGCTTCTCTTACCAAACTTTGCATATGATTCTCAGCTTTTTGAAGTTCTTCTGGATTAGTGATGTTCTTGGACCCCACAATTTGCCATGATGGGTTTGTTGTAAGGTTCCCTATAAAGTCATGGTTTGAGTATCTTAGAATGCAGAAGTTATACCATATAACAGCAGAGGATCTGTTAGGACAACGCTGAGAAATTGCTGAGGCTGCAGTAGAGACACAGAATTGGCAGAAAGATCCTGTTACATCACCTCTACAATCATAGAGGCCATAGATTGCATCAACTGTGTTGTTTCCTATGATGGTGTTGTTATATCCCTTGCTTGTGGTAGCATCGGAGGATAGCCATGAGAGGATTTTGTTAAGGTTGGTTTGGTATGTAGTTGTGAGAGCTTCTTCTGTTGAGTTGCGACAATCATCACCTACATAGTTTGGTGATTGTGCACTTGTTGTGGTGAAGAGGGTCATGAAGCTAAGAAATCTAAGGATGTTAATGAGATTTGTTGTTCTCATGGTGAGCTTTGTTGCCATCATTGTTGGTTCATGAAATGGTTGTCATAGTAATATGATATTGTTTGAAGTGCCTATAAATTATGCTAACTGAAGAAAGCAACACTTTGACTTTAAAATTGAATGTTAGAAGAAGCTGGCTAGTGGTATGATTACTTCTGTTTCTATGACAGGTTAGAATATTAATAACTTGAAATGGACGAAGCCTCTCGGGATTTCTTTTGAAATCTTATGTATAGGAAAAGGGTTTGCATCTATCATTTAATATGACACAACAAACTTTCCTATACACATAACAGTTTGTGGGGTCCACACTTTTTGAAGAAAAAAAAAATTACGGCATGCAAAACAAATCTTTATAACATTACGGAATCACTTTTCCTACAACACAACTCTTATATAACCCATAGAAAAATCCTGTTTGTATACTTCATTTTACTTCACACATCATATTAATTTCATATTAAAGTATTGCATAAAGGTAAGATATGGCTTCGTTGAAAGTCTGAATTTTTTCTAGAAGCTTACAAGGGAAGGGGTGAAAAATTTGAGTTTAAATAACTAAATTTATGTAAAATATTTCAAGACTGATTTGCCTTATTAGCTTGGTATAAATCAAATTATAAGGTTAATATGGCTTACTCTTATTTTTAAGAAATATATGGTTTGGTTTGACGTATTAATTACCAAGTTTTAAAAAATTACATATTGCATTATATAAAATAGGGAAAGGTTATAGTTACTACCTTTTTTTCTTACTACTTGTTACTACCTAATCTTAACTGTTGATTTCTGTCAATCTAACGACTATAATTTATTAAGTCACATTTATTAATTAATTATTAATTCTAATAAATTATAACCGTTAGATTGACGGAAATCAATGATTAAGATTTGGTAGTAACAAGTAGTAAGAAAAAAAGGTAGTAACTATAACCTCTCCCTATAAAATATAGGTAATGATTTTTTTATTTACTTTGTAGATTTAAAATGATAGAAAGTAAAAATAATATAATAATTGAAGTCACACAATATCCCAAAATATTATTTCACTAAAAAATAACAATAAAAATAATAAAATATTACTGGAGATTTATAAACAAGACATGATAAAATAGGGTTTTAACCTTATTTCTAAATAAGTATTTTAATGAGCTCAACCCTTCATTGATTTTAAAATTAGTCAAGTCATGCAAAAAGCAGGTCAGACCATATATCATGACAAGTCGTTTGTCTCATTTACACTCCTAATATAGGAATTTGAGTTTAACAACAGTATTTTGTGTAAGTGATCGTATTATCATGTATAATTTGTGAAGAAAATAGATTGGTTTTGTTGACACGGCCCGTTAGTTGCATCTATGAATAGAAAAATAGTTTTGAACATAATAAGAGAACAATGCACAGAACCAGTACTAAGGTTTTTAAAATTGATACGACCAGAAAATTTTGATAGAACTTTGTCTATTTTTAATGTCTATAAAAATATAATTTTGACAAAATGTATTCTCATTTTGAAATATAGTAACCAATATTGAATAGAATCCACCACTTTTTTTTTTTTCTCCCAATAAGTTATTGAAAAGGCACACTTATGAGCTCCAAAGCTCATTTAATGGTCTTAGTGCAATAAGTATTTGATGTAGAAATTAATGATCTTATAGTTTGAAGTCAAATGGACAAGTATTATCAACTTCAGCTTCTAATGATCTAAAGAATCTTGTGTCCAGAAAAGAAAGGGTAAATATTATCCATGGTTTATCAAACCACACAGTTGCGTTCCTAAGGTCTCGAATTCAAGAGCATTGATTAAATCGAAACAACCTCTTACCAGTTGATCTATATATTGGTGGTTACAAAAAATGAGTTACGAAGAGTCAAGATAAGAAAAGTCAACCTCAAAACATTTTGGGGGTGTTTGGTAGGGGTTTTTGTGGTAAATACCTAGGCAACTTCTATTGGTATTTCAGCTTAACCATGTTTGGTACAAGACTTCAAAAAATTTAACTAGGCAAATCCTTTGCCCAGCCATTTTGATTTCTTTGCAAAATTTCATAAGAAGTACTGTTCCAAAAAAACAAATGGGAAGTGGTATTTTGGGGTTTACTGGGCAAAGGAAAAAAGGAGGTGAATTGAAGACAAAAATGACCCTCTCATGTACTGTCGAGTCTCTTTTCTCATTCTACTCATTTTGCTTATTCAGTGTAAATTCACCTAATTACACAAATGCTTCTAACAATATTCTGATAAGGTTTAATGAAGATGTGGACTGCATTTGTGTTCATGCTCTTGTTAGTTTTGCATACATTTACATTTAAAATTTCACAATAAAATTTAACCAAACTTGTGCTTAATGGGAGAAATTATATGTGATATGTACCAGAAACCCAGAGCAGAAAGGAAAGAACTGAAATGGTATTGATAAGGTGGAATCCAAATCAGGCGCAATGATTTAAGTACATGATGTCTCAAGAAAATTACAGCAATGCTAGAAAAGGAAATGAGAGAAAAATAAGAGAAGCACGTAGTCCAGAGCAACGAGGATATGTTACTAGTCTCTCCCAAGCTTAATCCATGTCTCAATCCTGAAAAATTGACTCTGTAACTAAAAATTTCCAATACAAGAGCACCTTATCTTCTGTACACTACTCAGAAAACTCCATTAGGGATTCAAGCTCAGATTTGGATAGTGCAGATATTTATTTTTTCAGACACAGAAGTGAAGCGATTTATTTTTTCATGACAAATGGATCATTTCTGTAGTGGATGTCTTTCAAAAATTAAAGGGTTACTTTTGTAATTTTAACCAATTTTTCCATCAATATTTTACCTTCAACTAAACATAGACTTGGAAAACTTTAATCAATTTTCCTGGTAATATTTTGCCCTACCAAACAACTTTTTTTCAACTTTACCAGCAAATTTATTTTCCCATCATTTCTCCATTAATTATATTTACCAAGTAAAAAAATATTTCTACTCTACCAAACGCCCCCTTATATAAGACCCTTTTCTCTGTCGCTCGTACAAAACTAAAGCTCTAACGCATCTTGCCATTAATGGACAAGAAAATGACTAGTTGAATTGTTCATTGAAGACATTTGAAGCAAGTGCAGGTGGATAATTTTCAAAATCTATAAATAGCTAAAGTCCAAAAGGAAGATGGACAATAAGCATTGTTACTTTGACCGATGCTCTAAACCATTTTAAACTCTCTAAATACACACTACAAAAATTTAGGCATTTTATTGAGGTCATATTTTTATATTGTGGAGGTCTTTGACCCCCACAAAAAACATCTGTGGCATTCACCCAAACTTTCAGTTCTGCCTTCGCCACAACATAGTTTGTGAGGGTTTTTTGTGCAGTGCCACAATTTGTTAAAGTATTTTCTGGAGGTTCGAGACCCTCACAAATATTGCACATTCTGGAGGTTTAAGACCCCCACAAATGTCGTATTATTTATTGGATTTAGTAACCTCCACAAAATTCATCATTTTTTAGAGGGCATAGACGGCTACAATTTATTTATTATTCTGTAGATTTAAACCTCCACTAAATTCTAGTTATCCAAATTTGAAAAGTGTGTATATCATACTTTTGGAATTGGGCCTCGTCACTTGATTTGTTAGCCAATTTATTATTTATTTGTTTGATCTCTTAACATTTTCTTGAAAACAATTGTTAAATACTAGTTATCCAAAAGCAACACCAATCATAGTTTATATTTATGTTTGTTACTTATTAGTATTTTTTATCTTATCATTGATCCAAAAAAATGTGTTTAAGTCGTGTAATAAGATATTAAGCCTCCTTTCCAGACTAAGTACCAAATATACAGCTAAAGAATATAGAATATAGTGACATGACCACCGTTGAAACAGGGCATTAAAGGTTAATCCAAATAATGCACTCTTCTTGAATAGAAAACTTCAATGAAGTCATTTTTTGAGGTGCCTCAAGTTACTCATGAGTTTACAGGCCCTTGTAGAAGGAGGCATCATAAGAGAATGATAATAACAATGGCGTCAATTGATTCACCAGTAATCCCCACAAGAACAGCTTTCATTCTTAAAATTGATTCACCAATAATCACCACTAATTTCCCGCGGGTGGGTTTAACTACCCGAAACATAAGTGTGGACAACTTAGGTGGGATGGGCTCTGGAAATAGTGTTGGGCCTTATTATAATGACCCTAACTGGTAAATCTTAGTTAGAGATTTAATTTAAGGATTTAAATGCCATAATTAGATTCAGTGAGCGATTTCGAGTATTTTGACTGTAATCATGACTATGTTATGAACAGTGCGTTCTGCCGGAGAATTTACAGTTTTGTGAATTAACCGGTAGAGCTTAAAATGAGCAAAATAATTTTAGGAACATAATTTGAAAATTCTGATGACAAATATGAGTTCAGAACGAAAAATTGTATAGTCTGGCACTTTCCGTGAAAATCTCGTGAATAGTGTTTCTACCGGGTATTTTGTACTGCTGTTTAAGCAACCGGTAGAGTCCAGAAATAAATAATTGATGAAATAAGAATAAGAAAGTCCAATATATGCCAAGCAAGTCAATATAGGCCCAAGAAAATGATAAGTTTATAAGTTTTAAGTTTCGTAAATAAAGGAAGTACAATTAGTGATGCACAGTGCATTTCGTCAAAAACGGTGCAAAAACCATACTGTGAATTATGAATATTGTTCCTTAGGAAATAAAAATTAATGTAAATGATTTTAGGAAATAAAAAATATGTTTGTAGCTTTGAGTTAGTTCCGGGTCAATTTAAGTTAAAATACGCGATAAAAAAACATCCGATGAAAATGGCCACATGTGCCTATATAGCCTTGTCACTTAAATGAAACACTATTCATTTCAGATTTTCTTCTTCTCTCTCTTGCATGGCCGAGCTGCACATGGAGGGGAAGGGGCTAGGGTTTCAAATTTTCCTTCTTTGATTTCTTCATCATCCATCCACCAAATCCAATGACCCACCACATGAAATTGATTGGAAACCACTCA